TTCTTCACTCCTTGTTTATCCACAAGATAGTCCACATATCGGCCAGTTAGTGATAAGCTGATCTCTCCGTTCTCCATCATTGGTGTGATGGTTGCAGCCATGAGCCCCTTGCAGGTTTTTCTTCATGGTGGCCATCACACTGCTGTCTATGGCTGATGTAGACCAGTGTCTCAGAGGCTGGTGATTCCTGGGCCTGGATTCTGAAGACCAAGGAAACAGCTGACTGTCATGTTAGAGGTAGTGTCTCCAATTTCTTTTTTTAAAAAATTTTCTTTTTTTCACTAGTTAATTTACAAAATTTCTATACAAATTCAAACAAATTGTTTCAATTTCCCTCACCACTCCACCCATCAAATTGTACAACCCAATGATTAATCCCCTCTTCCCCCTGCACACCCACATCCCTCTGCTTCAAGCCTCTCCCATCCCTCCTGGATCCTTATACTCATACATGGAAACAGCCCAAAAGTCCAACCGCAAACGAATGGATTGAGAAAGTATGGTATATTCACACAATGGAATACTATGCAGCACGCAGGAGCAATAACTTTGCAAATTATTATCTAACTTGGGAGGGACTGGAGAGCATTATGCTGAGTGAGCTAACTCAGTCCAACAAGGATAAATATTGTATAAAAACCATTATTGCTTATATGTGATATTAATGATATTGCTCAAGAATTTCCACATTCTGTTGGATCAACTTTCTCGGGAACGAGAACAAATGTAGATCTCTTCCAGTCAGTCGGCCAGTCAGCCGTCCTCCAAATTTCCTGGCATCGACTGATGAGCACGTCCAGGGTTGCATCTTGTTAACTGAAATAGGTCAGTCAGAATCCCACCTCATCCTGAACATAAACTAAACTCAGGCAGGGGCTCCACGTGACTTCCTTCTTGCCCTCCCTTGCCACTGGGCCCTTCAGCAACACCCATTCCTACAGATTCTCTGGTGCGGCCACCTCATTTCACAACTGAGGCTGAGCCGGAGGAATGAACTGACAGGGTACCCACACGTCCAGGCAGAGCCAGAGCCTAGGGCGCTGGACACCCTGAACATCGTGTGCCTGAACATCTTGTCCCCATTCCTTACACAGCTAGCTTTCCTCATTCCAGAAAGTGTCGCTTTTGTTTTCTTCCCAGTATATTTAGGGATTTCATTTCCTGCTTATCTTTCCCCAGGCCCTGAGATACTCAGGAGAGCTCATGACAGATGGCTGGTGAAGTGGAGCAGAGTCCAGTGTTCTTTGGGCCAAAGCAAACAGCTAACCGATCCCTCCACGACCCCCACAGCAAACATCATTGCCTAATATCCCTGGCCCCACGGGAAGAGCGCAGCAGAGCACGGTGGTTCCTCAGCTATCCAAATAAACCGCTGACCTTTGCAGCTGTAGAACCATCTGAATGGAATTCTCTCACCCTTTTGCTTGTTCTAAATGTTCCCCACAGAAACGCCATTTACATAAGTACGTGCAAGTTGTCATTGGACAGACCAGCTTTATCCCCAATATCCTACTTCTGAGAGAAGGCAGTTCATGGGAGCAGAAGAGTCTCAAACTGGACATATCAGTGCATAAAACTGTAGAGAAATGTACACCAGTGTTCAGAGCAGTGTTATTCACCATCACAGGAATATAGAAAGAGCCCAAACGTTCAACCACAATAGAATAGATTGAGAAATTATGGTACTTTCACATGATGGAATACTACGCAGCACATAGGAACAATGGTTTGTAAATTACTACCTAACTTGGAAGGGACTGGAGAACATTATGTTAAATGAACTAACTCAGTCCCGTAAGGACAAATACTGTATAAGACTATTACTGTAGAACAAGTATGTGGATCCAAGGAGGAGGGGGGGAGGGAGAAGTAGAGGGGTGAGGATGGGCTGAATGAGGAGGTTAATCATAGGATCACACATTTGATGGGTGGAGGGAGGTGTGAAGGAAATGGGAAAGATCCAGTGTGGAAGACAATGTATATGAACTTTGTAAATAAAGCAGTATAAAATTTAGAAAAAAAGAAACAGTATAGAAAGGGGTGTGGGTATGTATGTGTGTATGTGTATATACGGGTGAGTGTGAGGGAGAGAGATACTACAGGGAGTGTTTCTGGCCTTTATTAATCCTCAGGGGACCCATTAGGATCCTAAATAGATTGAAATGTTAAACATTAATTATCTGCTCCGGCCCCATCTACCTGGCAGAAACCCAAGCCCATCAGTCTCTGACCTGGGCTTTGTAGGAGCTCAAACTCCAGAAGAGAGCTGTACCAGAAGGCTCGACACGAAGGAGAGGGACACTGGCAGGGACACTGGACCAGACCAGATGCGAAAATGTCATTTCTAAATGGAGTGAGATCCCGCCCCAGAAAGTTCCCGAGCAGAACACTCCTGAACACCCAGATGCGTGTGCGCTCTCACGCTCTCTTGCTCTCGCTCTCTCTCTCTTTCTCTCCCTCTCTCTGTCATGCGTGCGAGCACTCGCTCTCTCCCCTCCTCCTCCTCCTCCTCCTCCTTCTTCTCTTTCTCCTTCTCCTTCCTCTCTCTCTCTCTCTGTCTCTCTCTTCTCTCTTCTCTTCTCTTCTCTTCTCTTCTCTTCTCTTCTCTTCTCTTCTCTTCTCTTCTCTTCTCTTCTCTTCTCTTCTCTTCTCTTCT